TATATATATATATATATATATATATGTAATATCCAATTGTCATAAAATTATTGATTATATTAAATTATTTATTAAATATTAGTAGACACACAGTCATGTTCCCCATTTAACACATTAATTAACCGACGAAAAAACGGAGGTTCTCAAGTCGACGTGTATATTTTTTTTATGTATGACCACGCATAACTTTTTACAGAGTAGTCCGATTTTGATAATTCTTTTTTTATTGGATAGGGTATACCTCGAAATTGGTCCCATATAAATTTGAAAAAAAAATATCTACCTTAAGGGTGGGAAAATAGGGTTTAGATTTATTTTTTACTCACAGATTTTAATTCTGAGTGGTGTATTACTACATTACATAATAATTACACTACATTACATTACATTACAAAAAACCTCACGATGAATGAGCTTTAGAGCTGTCAGTCTCTTGTGTGTAGATCTCTCAGTCTCTGCATTTCTGCTAAAGCTCGTTCATCGTGAGGTTTGTGTAATACCTTATTTGGCTCTAAATCAGATATAGCAATACCCTCAAGTGTTTTTACTCTACTCAGTGCCACATATGCCTGCCCTTTGGCAAACACTTTCTTTCCGAGGTCGATTACAGCTTTATCAAGGGTTGCACCTTGTAATTTGTGAACCGTGACGGCCCAGCATAAAATTATCGGCAACATCCTGCGCTCAATATCGCCATTACCCTTCGTATCTTAAAAGTTGCTACCACTGAAGGTATGGCGACACAGCCATCGCTATCTTTTAGTCTGCTTCCTATGCTTTCATCGTCAAATTTTATTAATACGCAATCCGGTAATTCTCCTTCCTCTAGTTGATCCCTGCGTAGTGATGGCCATTTTATTATTTTTACAATACCCATAGCACCATTGACGAGCCCGTCAGATACTGATCGTTACGTCTTAACATCACACGAGATTTGACAGCTAATTTTACTTTAGATAAAAGTCCACTACAATTGTTCACATCTTTTGGAACAACATTATCTGGAGGTTTCTTCTCATATGTAGCGAATACAATTATTAGAGCATTTAACAAATTGGGAAATCCTTCTTCACTATTGTCGTTGTCTACGTGACCATTAACGGCTGATTCATGACGAACATTGATATCAACTTTTTGATTGTTGTATGTGATATTAGGTAAAAGCTCAGTTGCAGCTAAATATTAGATATGTGCGTTATATGTGAATTGGCGTTAGCCCGAGCCGCAATACAGTCTAATATTTATCTCATACCAATAACTTGTAATCTATGTCGCTTTTGCACCAATTATTGGGATTTATCAGAGAAAATGCCACACTAGTAACAGTTGCAATCCCTGTGCATTGCCGACCACGTGACTTTGGACTAAATCGTTCATTGTCCTGATGAAAAGAATCATATAATATAGATACATTGTTACTCAAGCCAGTATAGTTATTTGTAGGTACAGTTGACCGTTCAGCAATTGATTCTTCACTATTATGACCATGTGCAGGTGCGAACATCTTTATAGAGTGCATTATTCATTAGGAGCCACTGCAATGCTAATTGAAGTTTACATAATCTATTTGAAACTCCCTAGAACGTTCTAAATTTTCACGACTTTCTACTACAATCACTAATCCAGTTTGATTAGGTTCAAGCGGAAGTTGCTCCGCCAGCTCGACCACATCCTAAACAAAAATAATTGCCTGCCCTTTGTACCAGTCTTGGCTCAAACGATTTTGAACTTTTATTATTTTAAGAAATGGCACTACCTACTCTGCAAATAAAACGTTTCTCAATTTCCGATAAGACATTTTATTCCAATAGGCCTACGGTGAAGTGTTGTTTTTTTAATATTATTTAAGCATTGTGAACAAGTAATAATATTACTTAAAGCTATTCTTCAATTCATTAGGGAAAATAGAGCCTAAATTTGTAGTTTGCAATATCGTACGTTGCTGAGGATACAAATTTTTTTCGAATATTGAACACGGCAAATCAGCATAAACATTAATCGCTTTCTTAAAATTATCTGCATTACACTGGTTTCTTCGCTCGCAAGCCGCTTATCGCGTTCTCTCCTCGGGAGTTTCGTGAAGTACCACCACTGCAGAACAGTTACGAGCAGCATCCAAACGTAGCAAATGTTCGTCTTCAGTTTCATTTGAAAGTCGCTCTCTTATCAGACCTAAACGATGAGCGCGTTGTTCTTCACATTCTTGCGATAACCTATCGTTATTGTAGCTTCTCATCTTCGACAGTCTTTCCTCGCGCTGATTTAAACACTCCTGTGAACGTGTTAATCTAATTCTCTTACTATTTGCTTCCAAACTTTTATTTTTCTCATCATTAGATTCTTCTAAATATCTTTTTCTCATTCGAGCAGCATTTTTGTAGGCCTACCCATGGTTGTATATAAAGCCTGTTTTTTTAAAGAATTTATATTATTATACAACAAATAATAGTTAAAGTAGGATTATATAACAGTTAAAGGCTAAATTAAGGTAGGTAGCTAATTTGAAAGTAGTCAAAAACTAAGCATGTAGTAATTAGTAGATTATAGCCGTGAAAAAGTATAAAATAAAAACTTTTTAACAAAAAAATTAAACCGCCGAAAAAACTGAAAAGCAAAAAATAATAAACCTTTTTTATTTAACCTTAATAACTAAGTTCTTAAACCAATTTAAGTATACCTAAGTATATACTTTTGTAATTATTTTGAGTTTTTAATTAACCCTAATAACTAACTTCTAAAACTAATGTAAGTATACCTAAGTAATTTTGAGTCGGCGCCAAACAATTGATGAACAAAGAACACTAAATAACCTTAAATTTAAAAAAATAACTAAATCAAAATCAAATTAACAATGCAACGTGAAATTTTCAGCGATAAACATTAAAGCTGAACGCACATTTTTCCGCGCCATACGCGCCGTACGCGCCGAATATTGCTGATGGCCTCGCACATATGCACGTACGCAAAAGTTGCAAGAATAATGCCCGAAAAAGCAATTTATGCTTTTTCGGGCATTATTCTTGCAACTTTTAAAAATACATTGTGGCATTGTGAAACGTGTTTACATTGGCTGTGTTTCAAATAAACTAAACGAAATAAGAGCTCACGTCTCCAGTGCGCTGTTATTTACTTGGACGTATTTTTTTCTCCAACCCGATATCTAGTTGGTATTGTTGATCGAAGGTTTTACGTAATTAATTAATTTGCTTGTTTGGCGCCGACTCAAAATTACTTAGGTATACTTACATTAGTTTTAGAAGTTAGTTATTAGGGTTAATTAAAAACTCAAAATAATTACAAAAGTATATACTTAGGTATACTTAAATTGGTTTAAGAACTTAGTTATTAAGGTTAAATAAAAAAGGTTTATTATTTTTTGCTTTTCAGTTTTTTCGGCGGTTTAATTTTTTTGTTAAAAAGTTTTTATATAAAATACGGAATGTATGGACGAATGTTAAAATCAATCATCAGCACGTATTAAATCGTAATGTCCTATATTTGGGACGAAACACGTCACAAAACTAGAAAGCGACCGACTATACATTGAAACTGGCCTTTCACTTTAATAGCAAAAGAATTAAATGTAGATAATGTTTACTGCATGACTTACCAGGTCGTCACTCCATCTAGTGGGGGGACTCCCTACACTATATGGCCGACCCATTACCACTTCAGCTTACTAATCCGTTAGATGGATGGATAGATGCAGGTGGCTCGGGGCCGTGCTTTGTGGCGTTCCTTGGGGGAGGCCTATGTTCAGCAGTGGACATGTGAAGGGCCTTAATGATAATGATGATGAATGTTTACCGTATTTAACTTTTAATAAAATCAGCTACAACCAAATTATATTTCTACATATTTCTATAGAGGAGACCATTGATGGACCAGTACCAGTGTGACCATATGTGGCAGGTTCCTGCCATTTTGGCAGGATTGGTCTCTTATTTTAGCCTCTGGCATGATCAGTTGACGTTTTATAAAATCTGGCAGTATTTGGCAGTATTGGGGTATTAAAAATAGATTTCATTATGTTACTTAAAATGCCGAAAATGGGAAACCTAGATATTTCGCCAGCATGTGGGGGACTTCCCTGTACTTCTCGTATTATATTTGTATCACATTCAATAAACAACTTTAATAGTTTGTATGTAAAGTTGATAATCTTAAAACAAGTATTCATAAACTCGAGTTTATGAATAAGTCACAGAAGGACGAACTTTAGTCGCATTAGATTTCATGATGATAATATCTTGTTAATAATATTTCATGGACAAAAGTAATTATAGGTGGTGGTGATGAAGTAAAAATATAAAAGAGCGTATAGTGTGGAGTGGGAGCAAAATCCTTCACTTTCGTCGTGGATCTCTAAAGCTAAAGATGATCCAGACTATGTAACTGCAAATTGACACCCAGCTGTCCGCTTTAAAGAAGCATGCTGCTACAAGTAAACATCAAAAAATATGAGTGGATTCAGCATGCGGAAGAATATTCTCTCAAATAAATTTAATTAAGACAAAAACACGAAACAGATTTATAAACAAACATTTGCGTCTATATTGCACGTTAAACAAGGCATTGATGAGCATGGCGATTGCATTGCATTCAATACAACGAAAAATATGTTTAATTTTAATTTAATAAAAATAAAGCATTTAAATATGTAATTTTCATTTTCATTTATTAAATGGTAAATAAAGTTGACAGTATATAGGCATTTTTCACTACAGACTTTGGCAGGATTTAGTAGGTTTTTAACCAAAGTAAGGCAGGATTTGTATTTTAAAGATGGTCACACTGGTCCCAGTCATCACGTAGTAGGGATGGGCAAGGGTAAAAAATATATCGATATATATCGAATCGATATTTTTAAACAGTATCGATACATATCGCGTTATAAATATCGATATATCGTCACCATTTGCATGATGTATAGAAAAGGTCCAAAATTTTATATTACTGCCGGTTGGACGACGAAAAAAAAACTACAACCAACCACACATGAATACTTTTATACCTCCTTTTATTGTTACATGTATCAAATTATATAAAATATATCGAATTTGATACGAATTCGATACTCTAAAATAAATATCGATATATCGCTTTTTAAAATATCGACGATATTTTTATTAAAAGATATCGATATTTCGATATTTTTTGCACAAGCCTATCACGTAGTTGAAAATTGAAATCGAGAGGCACAGCACAAATTATAAAGTAGTATGTACAAGACAGATAGGACAGTACGTCGCCGTAGCGAGTTTGGAGGGCAAGCTTTTTCCCGCTAGATGGCTACCTTGTTAGTGTTGGCGTGTATAGATCATCCATGATATCGATAGATTTTGCAGCGATAGGGATGTGCATTGAGTTTATCGATTACTTTTATTTTCATTATTCTTTATTTGTTATATTAATAAGGGAAAGGAATTATTTAATACCACATTACTTAAATCAACTAATTTTGAAAATGCTACAATAAATCTTGTACTAGGGTACATAAGATTTTTCCCTTTAAGGTGCTTTCGCTCCCTGTGTCTAATTAAATCATGGACACTAAGCTGCTGATCCTCATTATTTAAAAATGTTTTTTTGCAATTTTTACATTTATTCTGACACAGTTTTCTTATAATATATCCTGAAGTGTAACTCCTCGCATTTACATTTATTTTTTCTTCAAATATGGAGACCATATTTCCTGATAAATTTACTTCAGATGAACAACTAAGGTTTCTATTATCATTACTATCGGAAACTGGTTGTTCTTCTGAAGCAAATTCCACATTCAATAAAGTTGTTATGTTTAATATGGTCTCCCCCATATCATCTTCACAATTAAAATTTTTTGTGTGGATGGCCAGCATGTCCGTCATTAATAATGATTTAAAAGAGTTTCGGAACGAAAATGTATGGGGGTTGGTATATCTATAATTATATGCTCTTATTTTGCCAAAGAAATTTTCAAGGGGGTCTTTAGGTTTCTCGTGTAAAAGAAACTGACCCCCTCCGATTGCATTATTTCACTCACTCTTATTAGGCTTTCTAGTGTTGTAACCCAATTGTTTAATGTTGGTACATTTTTTATTGTAGCTTTTTCTAAAGAACTTTTTGGAATGAAATGCATTTTTTTAAACTTCTTAATGGCTTCAATCCAAAATGCTTTGTGGGCACTATTCAGTTTGACTGGACCTCGTATTTAGCCTGGAGCCCCACCAGACCTTGAACCATTGCAACTGTCGAACAATTGGTCAAAGAAAGCAACTGCTGCAGCTGTATTTTTTGTTGTTTCACTGATTTGTGTTCCGTCATGTCACTGAGCTGGAACAAAAAACATGAAATTAGAATTACTTTTACATGATGTATTTACTTACATGTAACAGGCATTCTTTACTCATGTTTATTACAAAATATTTTTTTATGAAATTAATAATTTAATATTTAAAATATAAATAATAATTTTTTAACAGTGGTAGAGCTACGCGGCAGCTTTTGCTGTCGCATGGATGGGCTGGCTCGAACCGGTGTGGTACCACGACCTCACAGAAAACCAGCGTGAAGTAGAGGTTTACCTCTGCATTTCGCTTGGTGAGTGCAGGTGGCCGGAGGCCCTTTTTACTGGAAATAAGGCATTCCATCTTAGTCCTCACATTACTGTACGTTTTGATTTGTAATAGAGGATAGATGTAGATGTCTATGGGCCGCAGCAACCACTTACCATCAGGTGGACTGTGTGCTCGTTTGTCACCCTTATCCTATAAAAAAAAAAATTAAACAAGAAAAATCAATTTACATTTTATTTAAATCTTTCCAACTCCAAATGAACATTAACCCCAAAGTTCATCTTTAGAGACAGTTGAGTTATTTAAATTGCCACAAACATACATTCATAGACTGCAAATCTACATAGAAGAAGTACAAACTAAACTATCAAAAGTTGTATGATAAACAATATAATGGGCATATATGGGATCATACTGTAGCCCGAACAGCTTGATGGATTTTAACATTTGGGTATCATCAGTTTTGTCTTAGTTGTGGATGTGACATAGGAAATTAAAAAGGACATAAAGTTAGCCTTTCACATACACAATCACAAACCCAATATTCCATTAATCGCTTTTTACATGGTAGTCCATAATGATATACATTGACCAAACTATAAGAAACTCACAATTTCAAGGATTGTCTACAATACTAATACGATTCCCTTAAGTTTAGAATGCCTGAAAAAGTCCATTTAGTTGTAAGTACATAATATAACTATCCTAAAACCTTTACACCAATAGCAAATGTATTTGATTTGTTTAAAAGATGAAATTCTTGATGCAACCGTAGCATATAGAAAACTAAAAAACCACCTTTTTACCTTTTATACGTGGTAGAGCCATGCTGCAGCTATATTTCTGGTATAGCTGTAACATGAATGGGTCGGCTCGACCGGGGAAGGACCACGCTCTCACAGAATACCCGCGTAAAATAGCAGTTAAACACTGCTGTGTTTCATATGGTGAGTGTAGAGAACCGGAGACCCTTTTTACTGGAAATTTAGTCTCACGGGTGACAACGCATCTGCATTTTGATTCGTAATCGAGGATAAATGTAGATGTCTATGGGCCACAGAAACCACTTACCATCAGGTGGACTGTGTGCTCGTTTGTCACCCTTATCCTATATATAAAACCCTGATGAACTCGCCAAAAACACTTTAAAAGACTACCATAGTTAAAATATGAATAAAGTTACGCTTAATGAAAAAATAGGCAGTTAACTTACAAAAAGTTGCTGTATACTGCATTGTGGCAGCTACACGTTCACTGAAGACTTGAGTGCAGTTCTTAACTTTCATCTTCTTTATTTTTTCTGGTATAACATGCTCATCTGACAATTTTGGGAGCATTCTTATATTTCCCAATTTACAGTCATAGTTGTAAACATCTACAATGTCTTCCCATTTTGTTAGTTTTCCCTCAAAAATTAAATTCTTATTCAACATGTTGTTGCGTAGGCCTTTTATTAAGTGTGGAGGGTCATAGATCACACTTAAGTTACTTCCCCCAATTAGGATACTACCATCTACAAAAAAAATGTTTCATTACAATGATGGGATATTATTTTTACAAGGTTTATAATTTTAGAAAGAGAAAAATAGGTGAAGTGCTCAACTCGAAGACTTAATAGGAGTTGTGCATTTTAGCTTTCACTCATTAAAATGTTTTCAGAACCTTTTGGTCTCAAAACCAAAACCTTCCGTACTCAAAAGTATTACTAGGTATATTATATGTATTTAATATTATTTTTTAAGCTTACCAAATTTTATATTATTTTGAAAACAATGTCTCTTAGTCTCTTCTTGAAGATCTTTAAGAGCATGCTGTGATGTAGCTCCCTGGTCACAAATGAAGGCTAAAGGCTTTAATCCAGATTCAAATACTATCTTAACCATATCCTTTAAAATATGTTTCAAGGTAGCTGGTGGTGTAGTTCCTTGGCAAAAATAGTAAGCTACTGGTTGTCGCCATGATGCACAAATACCTCTGAGCATCACTACCAAAGCATGGTCAGCAAATTTTGGGGGCCCATCTGCTTTAACAAACCCCTCAATTTCATCATTGCTTGCAACAAAATTCAAATGTGCAGATAACTGAACTTCATCAAAAACAATGCTGCACAGTTTTTTTGCATTACTCCATGTTTTGATTTTTTGTTTTAAAATTGCAAAAAAGTTTTCATTTATACCTTCTCCAAATTTAATATTTTGTAAAACTCTATTCAGTGTTCTTTTGGTTGGTAAAGAGATTAATTTTTGTAGAAGGGAATACCCCTTGGGGCTCTGTTTATACAGTGCAATGCTCATTAATTTTTCATCAATATTATACCTTCTCCCTTTTGAAGCTTTACCAGCAAACCTCAGCTGCAATGCTATAAACTTTTTTGGAAAGAAATCTAACTTTTCTATTAATTTTCTAAAACTTTTGGTATTGCTAAGAATTTCTACATGAGCAATGTTTTGTTTGTTATCTTCATTACTTGTAAAAAATCGCTTTCTTTTAATCATATCTTTACACTTAAAGTACAACCTTCGACATCTTGGAGTTAAGTTGTTAATATTGGTTACAAGTCGAGGTCTACTTTTTACAAGCTTAATACATTTGTTTTTATCAGCTGGAAAAAAATATGTATGAGTGATATTGTAATCAGTATTACAAATGGTTCATATGAAATAAATATTTTTATTTAACTGTTGGCATTGTTCTATCTTTTGACTATAATAAAGTACACATGTATGTAAAAACATTAACACTAGGAAACTACATGTTAAATTACAATTAATATGACTCTTATTTTACAATCTGGTATAAAGAAAGATCACTATGATGCTCAGGCATTTTGTGATCATAGTGGAAAATAAAGTATGAAATTGTGTATAAACATTTAACATTACATTAATTTAAAGTAAGCTTACTATGTTGAATTGTCAATGGCTTTGGTGAAATGGGGACATAACTTTGCTGAGAAGTTGATGGTTTTGATGACATGGAGATGTAATAACTTTCCTGAGAAGTTGATGGCTTTGACAACATGGTGATGTCATCTGACACAGAAGTCTTTCCAGTATTTTCTCTTTTACTATTTTGTGAACCATCTAAATTAACTGCAATTAAAATAATTACTTTAAAACTTTTTTTATTTTTAATTGTATACCAAAATACAGATATACAAAATACATCTAAAGTATAATATGAACAAAAAGTGTTCTTGTCACTCTAAAAGTGATCTCTCCCAGACGATGCAAAGGTCTTCTGGGAGAGATCACTTATGCAAACAATAGTCAAAATCAAGGAGGGTGTACAAAAAAATGGATGAAAATATATATAAAACCAAGTGATATACACGCCACCTTGTTGTACAACAGCTGCTGTATTAATCCAGGTGGAAAAAACATCTTGCACCTGAATGTGCTATGTGTGTTCATAATATTAATATTATACTTATTAAATATAGCATTTTATAATAAAAATAATATATCATCATTAGAACTCTCCATAGCTCACTAAGTGACCTTGAGCTAATGTGCCCACCAATGTAGGACCACATCTCAGATCCATGTGATATCAATGGCATTATGCACTGGTTGTATAATCTTGTTTTCAAGTTTTGAGGCATATATGACAAGATGTGTCATAATCTTCACACGCTGCCCAGCTGAGTTGGATCCATTTGATGTCTCGGTTAAAGTTGGACTTACTTAATTGGACAATTTGTTCAAGGTAAAAATATGTGATGTGTACATAATATATATCAAGCTAATATAAAAAATATTTACCCAGCATGTATTCTTTACTATATTTTGGCTTTTTAATTATTTCAGGAGATGCTTCTTCCATACCTTGCCTTCTTTTACAGTAAGTATGATTATAATAGTCAGTGATGGATTGACCTGAAATAAATATCACTTTAGCTATTTTGTAATATAAGATAGCTTATACAATACGGTGATTATAAAAACAAAAAAAATATATTTAGTATCATATTTTCTTCAAACTCTACTCTCATGGTTAATATTGCATTGATAAATAATTTAAACCACTGCCTCGGGTATAATTCAGTCTTTATCAAATATATTTCTAAATTTGGCTCTAAATGGGAAAGATATTTTCGTACTTACTGGGTACTCCACAAGCTATTTCTTCTTCAGTCAGTAGAGTAGGATAACCGTGGTATTTCCTTGTGAAGCCGTCAAGATATTGATGTTCGAAATGCCTGATACAAATCTTCTTTTTGGCTAATTGTTTCGATGACAGTTGAAGAAGTTCTGGGCTATGAGGAGCGACATAAGAAAGCCAAAGGCTTTGCATGTTTTTGTCTCGAGGAAAGTAAAACATTACTATATCCTTGGCAAGACAAGAGTTGACACAACACACGGTAATAGGCATTATTTAACCTTACGGCACTAGTAGATAATAACACCACAAAATATGAGTTCTATCTCTAAAATGAGTCCTGTCTCTTATAAGTCACTGAATCAACAGCACCACAAAGATTCGACGAGATAACGGAGGAACTGAAGCTCAACTCTACGTTGCTAGTGAATTTGTAGAGCGGTAACCAAAAACAGTAAAAACACAGAAACGTGTACGAGTCTTGTACATACAACTTTATAATTTGTGGTACGAGTCTTACGAATCGACAGCGATTTGTAAAAAAAGATGGATGTCAACATCATCATAGATAAATATATATGTAGCAAGCTATTTTATGTGATTTTATGTTGTTGTTGTTTTTATTATTTGCTCGAGAGAGCAGGCAAAGGAACTAAGCCATACAGCCTTGTCTTTTTTATTTCGAATATATAAAATTTTAAAATGTAAAGGCCGGAACCAAGTCTTATTTTTCTTCTTTCTATAGCTGAGAACAAATTATCGGACGCGTCCGTCAGCCGCGGCTGATAGACGCGGCTTATTTGAATCTAGCCAGTACATTTAATACTACACTGTGCAAACTATCGGTCGTAAGACGCGGACGTGCCCTTGGGTCGTCCTTGAGCGTTCAGACGTCCGAACAGAATCTAGCCGGCTGGATATTTGTGCGTCCTCGGACGATGTGCACAGGCCACGGGACGCGTCCGCGGACGTTTCGAGCGTCACAAACGAACCAACCGCGCTCGCGACATGTCAGACGAAGAAAATTTAATTGAATGTGTTCGTGGCCACATAAATGCTACTTTAAAACAGGAATTGTGGGAGCAAATTGCTGCTGAATTAAACATCATTCTCAGTCAGACTAAGCAGAAAATTAAATTGGTTTTCATTAATTCTTAAGTACATTTTGTAACGTTTATCATCTTTTTGTAAGTCTGGATACAATGTATGAAATTCACCATACTCGAGTCTTTTTACATTAATATCATGGACCCAAACACTCCTTTTCACTTTTTTTTTGGAGGCATAAAGCAGCTGCCGCTAACTCTATAAATTCGTCCTCGCTGTCGCTGCTTGTCATGTTTCTCGATTGAAACACCTTTATAGAATTATTCTTATTATTCTTTTTTAAAAAACGTTACCCCCACACTAGGATTTTCTCCTGTATCGTGGAGGCAGTTTACAAACACAAATTTCACAAGGACAAACATCCAGACCCGGAACAATCATTTGTAGGCCATACAAATACTTGTTCCGTGCGGGATTCGAACCCGCGCCCCCCAGCGCAGCAACTCATTGCTAAGCCACTGCGCCACGGAGCCGTCTGACTCGAATGACTGAAGTGAGGCGTCCGAAGACGCCGTCTTAACTACCGTGCACACCGCTAAGCCGCGACTGTCAGCCGCGGCTGACGGACGCGTCCGATAATTTGTTCTCAGCTTATCTCTTCAAAATCCATAAAGGCCGAAGTCAAGTCTTTTCTTTAATTCTTCATATTTTCAAAAACCCGTAAAGGCTAAAGCCAAGTCTTCTTTATATTATATTATATTATTTGTAGGTTTCAATCCGTGTAGATGTGTCAATACAATATTTTCAAGAACAGGGATACCATATTTCATATTTCTTTTACAGTATTATGAATAAAATTGCAAAGTGCTAAATATGTCTTAGTATTCCTAAGAACATCTTGCAGGGCACGCGGGACTCTTTCTGAGTTTTCATAAACTTGCATAAGTTTTTCAATGAGTAGCAATCTATCAATGGCGTACACTGGGCAGTTAAATATTATATGTTCTGCAGTCTGATCTGCTTCTGTATTGCAGAAATTGCATGTTGCAGATGCTACTATTCTCATCCTGGAAAGATGAGCGTTCAGTCGATAGTGGCCAAATCTATGTCTGCACATTATTGTATAAAATTTTCTGCTATGATATCTCTCGTTGCGAGAAAACCAAGGAATACTTAATTCTGAATTAATTGATGCATACCAACGACCTTTTCCTGCCTCTAAAACAGCATTCCATTGCATTTTCCATTCTTCTTTTAACTGTTTCTTTAAAATTGAATATAAATCTGTATGTGGTATTGCAACATCGGTTATCCTTTCAATATCAGCTGTAACTATACTTTTAGCTAAATGGTCTGCTCTTTCATTTCCTTGAACCCCAATATGTGACGGAGTCCATAAAAATTTTACTTCCAAATTATTTTCTTCCAATTTCCACCACAAACTTTTGATTTCATATATGATGAAAGACGTTTTAGCATCTAAAGCTCTTGCCTTCAGTGCCTTCAAGACACTTATGCTATCAGAGATCAGTAACCATTTATTAGATACATGTGGGTGTTCTTCTATATATTTAAGAGCAATTAAGACAGCATAACATTCTGCAGTGTATATGCTTGCTGATGCGGGAATGGAAAGGCCACATCCAGTTTTCAGATGAGGTATGTAAAATGCACAGGCTACTTTATTTTCAACTTTTGAACCATCTGTGTAAATTTGTCGATGTTCATCATATGTAGATATAAGTTCATAAACCTCTTCTTTTCTTTTCAATTTTTTATCAATATTTATGTGTATATCACTGAATTTACTTTCATAATTCCCCTTATAACAATGCCAAGTATGTGTGCTTTTGTGAATATTATATTGTTCATCATATCGTATCACTTCATGAAAGTCATGGAGTATATATGGGGCTGAGTTAGATATAGAAGACATACTATTATAGTAAAATAATACTTTTTGAAAAAGAGGATGATGTGACAAAGAATTGATATTTAATAAAAACCTAAATTTCAGATACTTAAACCTAAGTAATATAGGAGGAGTAAGACATTCAGCCTGTAAAGAAACAATAGGAGTTGTTCTCATAGAGCCGGTAATAAGTCTTAAATTCTTATTTTGTATATTATCTAATTTGCTTACTAGTTTTTTATTTGATGCAAAACAAAGGAAGCCATACTCAAAATGGCTTCTTATCAAAGACTTATATAACATTAATAATATTTCTGGATCAGCTCCCCAGTTAGTACTAGCCAAAGCTTTTAATACATTAAAGGCCTTAGAAGCTCTGTCTGTAATAGAATTCACGTATTTGGTCCAAGATAAATTATTTGTAAAAATTACACCTAAGAATTTTGCACAACTTTCTATTGGTAAAAATGTATTATTATAAATTATTCTAGTGTTAAATGAACGAATTTTATTAAATATTACAACTTTATAAATAAAACTAATTTTACGGATTTTATCGCGTATATTAACTTATTTTTATATTCCCGACGTTTCGGGTGCTTTCCAGCACCCGTGGTCACGGGGGACTGAGTTGTTTGACGTCCTGCTGTCATAGTTAGCCCGGCTACCTTCAGTTTTTTAATATCAATTTTTGGTTCGATTTACGCAGAATGAGCTTACAGTATCTTGAAGTCTAGCAGTGGTATACTTGGGTTTGGATTTGATTTTATTAATTATGGGATCCCAAGCAGATGGCAGCACCCATCCATCTTCTCTATTGAAATTAGGATGTTTTTTAATTTCAATAGCCTCGCGAATCATCCTTGGGAGGAATCGGTGTTCTTTTGCGAGGATTTGTGGTCTATCAAATCTAATGTAATGACGGGGACGATCCTGAACATGTTCACAAACTGCAGACTTCCCGATACGTCGGTGCTTCACGTCAGCTATATGTTCTTTAACGCGGGTTTTAATAGATCTTTTTGTTTGTCCTATGTACGAGAGACCACATTCACAATCCAGCTTGTACACTCCTGCATCTTGTAGAGGGATATGACACTTGACGGATGGTAAAAATTGACCAATCTTCTTCAGCGGCTTGAAGTACGTTTTAATGGAAGCTCGCTTCAAGATGTAGCCAACCTTGTCTGTGACTCCTCTGACATAGGGTAGTACAGCAGGCACACGCTCGACTGTGGCTGGCTTCACTCGGTCACTGTGACGTAGGCGCGGGACCCGAAGCTTGTTGTCTTGCAGTACTTGCTCGACGTGCTGAAGCTCGGCGGCCAGATGTTTTCTGTCACAGATCCCTCGTGCTCTCTGAAACAAAGATTTTCCCACGGTAGCTAACTGTGAAGGATGATGGTGAGATTCACCATTTAAATATCGGTTGGTATGGGTATTTTTTCTGTACACAGTATGACCAATAGTGTTATCAGGATTTCGGATGACTAAAACATCTAGAAAAGCTAAAGTATTGTTTGCCTCTAACTCCATTGTGAATTGTATTTTAGGGTTTATGGAATTAAGGTGGTTTAAAAATGCAGTTACTTTGTCAGATGGTAAAATTGTGAAAGTATCGTCTACGTACCGCTTGTAGAATCTTGGATTTACAGGAGCAGTAAGAAGGGCTTTCTCCTCAAAGTCCTCCATGAATATGTCGGCGACTACGGGAGATACAGGTGAGCCCATTGCCACTCCGTCTACTTGCATGTAGAACTCTTCTTTCCACAATAAATAGCCAGATGTGAGGCAGTGTTTGAGTAATACTGCATATTCTGTAGGCATGTTGTTATCTTCTAGCTTTCTAGTAACAATTGAGATGCAGTCTTCAATAGGTAGGCATGTGAATAGTGACTGAACATCAAAACTGACCATAGTTTCATTGTCAGCGAGATGTAGGTCTTTAATCTCACTAACAAATTGGTATGAATCCTTTGTGTGTGCTCTGGTATGTCCTCTTAGTGGTGACAGTATTTTTGCCAAGTGTTGAGCCAACTTATAAGTTGGTGAATCGATCTGGCTTACTATAGGACGTAGTGGAGCGTTTGGTTTGTGTATTTTCGGTAACCCATACAACCTCGGTGGTTTGGAGGACTTTGAGGAGAAAGCCCTTCTTACTGCTCCTGTAAATCCAAGATTCTACAAGCGGTACGTAGACGATACTTTCACAATTTTACCATCTGACAAAGTAACTGCATTTTTAAACCACCTTAATTCCATAAACCCTAAAATACAATTCACAATGGAGTTAGAGGCAAACAATACTTTAGCTTTTCTAGATGTTTTAGTCATCCGAAATCCTGATAACACTATTGGTCATACTGTGTACAGAAAAAATACCCATACCAACCGATATTTAAATGGTGAATCTCACCATCATCCTTCACAGTTAGCTACCGTGGGAAAATCTTTGTTTCAGAGAGCACGAGGGATCTGTGACAGAAAACATCTGGCCGCCGAGCTTCAGCACGTCGAGCAAGTACTGCAAGACAACAAGCTTCGG